ATAAAAATAAAAGATTGTAAACTTAAATTTCAAAATATGCGATAAATAAAATGTGCTAAAAAATATATATTTTTTATTATACAACTTCAAATAATAATAATAATAATAAATGGGAAAACTATAGCTGGAAAACCTTGACAGGCAGTTGCAGGCTCCATCTTTTAATAAATGCAGGAGAAATATCTCTAGAAGTGGATCTCTTGAATTTCAATCATCATATAACTATATATTTGTCCGATTGATATAACAAGAACAATTTTTTAGCTTGCAAAAAAGTTAAACACCGTCAAGGCCATGATTTAAGTAATTGGACGGTACATAATCTTCTCTTAGTAAAAATATATAAAAAAAAATTATGAATTTATAACATATTCTGTAAGTTATTAGTGAGGTGAGTATAAAAGATTGAAATTGGGTTATCTCCCATTCCTATTTTATAATCCATAATCTTAAAAAAAAAAATGGTTAAATGTCAAGATGCGTTATAAAAAGGCTTCCTTTTGAGTACTTATTGAAGATATTAATTTAGACCTGCTTCTAGATAGGTTCAAATGTCCAAAAGATAAGAATGTTTTGCAGCAAAGAAAATAAACTTGTTTTCCTAACTTCCTCAAAAAAAGCTTATTTTCTTTCTCTTGTTTTTTTCGCATTGATAGAAAATACTTAACATAGACTCAAGTCCTGAGAAACATAGCTTCCACTCTGTCACCAAGCGAAGAAATGATGCAGCAGTATAAAATTATTAGTCAGGTATAAAATTGATCCTATCAATTAAGACTCATATACACCGGAGCTGTCACCAAGAAGGTGGAAATTGATAAATTAAATAATGAGTCTTAATTACATATATTTTAAGGTATAAAATTGATTAATTATTGATTATTGACTCATCAGTTGGGTTTCGAAGGAAATTTTAAAAGGTGTTTGTTTTAATATTTTACAAATAATTATTATCAATTAGTTTTAATCAAAGATATTATATATTTTAAATTATAAATAATAAAAATTATTATTCATCAAATATTATTTGTTAATTATTAATTATATCTAAATAGTTAATCTAAATACCCCTTAATCTTTAACTTGATATAAGCAATAAAAACAGATGCAGGTAACATTCTCCTAAAAAGATTAGATAGAGAGAGCTTTCTTATGGAAATCAATGGAGAGGTCGGTCTAAATCCAGATGGTTACATATGCCAAATGTGGGGAAAGGGTTTTTTTTTTTTCTTTTTTTCTTTTTTTCTTTTTTTAATTTTTAGCAAGTGTAAATTTAGAGATGAGGATTTAAATTCAATATTTAAAGTTGAGGTCCACCCTCTACAAAAATTTATAGTTAATTGCCCAAGAAGGCAGGTGCAAATGTGGGGAAAGTTAGTTGAATTAAGGATTGAAGAACTCACCAGAAGCGGCTACCGACGCCAACGGTTGACCGATTCAACGACTGACCGCGTTGATATAGGACTTAAAAAATTCGATTTTACATCGCCCTTGACGCGACGACATTCAACCAAAATTTTACTGGAATATGAGAAGACCGGTAGTTTTAGGTCAACAGTGAGCCCCACGCACGTATTAAATATTTTTTTTGGTTAAACCCCCCAATTTGGTGCTTGAACTATTATATGAACCTTTAATTTAATTCCTAAATTAAAAAAATCTCTAATTTGGTTTCTGAACTATTATATGGACTTCGATTTGGTCCATATTATTTATTAATTTGCTCCAAATTGATCTTTCTATACAAAAAAAAAAAACTAACATATCTATTATTTAATGACAAAAAATAATAACTTGACATCGAAAAATAATAATTTAATAATCACATATCACATAATAACGAGACACGTCAGTGTTTTTTTTATACAAAATGTTCAACTTGAGACAAATTGATAAATAATAAGGATCAAATCGAGGATCCATACAATAATTCAGAGATCAAATCAAAAATTTTTTTAGTTTGAGGATCAAATGAAAGATTTATATAATAGTTTATGGATCAAATTAAATATTCGAAATCTTTTTTTTAAAGAAAAAGAAAAAGAAAATTCCAACTGCAAAACACATGTGCCATGGATTATATATAGGAATTCCTAGTTCCTACTTCCTACGGTGTTCCCGCACGGTTTGTCAAATGAGATAGACATTTTTTTCGTCGTAGTCTTTTACTGGGTGAGGTTGCTTCTAGAATGTGCAGATCGATCGCTTTGACTCTATTACCCGAGCTAGATGACAAAACATACAATTTTTTTCTAATCAAATTTATCGAATTAGGTATAATTGTTAATCAATTTAATATTTTGTACTAATTTTTAATTGATATACCAAAGACCTTTTTGTAGCATGTAAATAAGATTAAATCTAATACCTACTGATGACCTGACATATTTTTTTAATATTACCTTTTTTATAATAAAAATAACACATATTTTTTTTAATAATAAAAATTGACAAATACTTGTACCAAGATGGTACAAATAACTAAAAGTATAATAATTAGTAAATATTAAGATACTTCGTTTACCCCTTTATCATTCCAGGGCTTAAAACCCATTATCTCTAAGATTAGAGTAATAGAGGTGACGTTGAAATAAGAGTATTTAATGTCTCTAAATATGAAAGATGCGCGAGACAACTATTAAAAATACTTCTATTTAATAAGAGAGATAAATAAATAAATAAATAAATAAATAATCTATTTATTTTATCTTTAAAAAAAAATCACTATATATCATCTTAATAAATTCTCATGAAAAAAACTTAACATATCTTATTTTTAAAATACAAATTAGACTATTTTTAATACTTTCTTATGGTGTTTTATAGAAACAATGAAATTTTTGCATAATTTTTCTCTTAGTTTTGAAGAAATAAGGTGCACATGAACTAATTTTAATAAATAAAAATAGAGGTAGAGGTAGTATTGAGGACTAAAATTCGTTATTAATAATTTTCAAAATTTTGAGTTTGAATTTTGTAATATGTGGGTGAAATGGTTTAATAGATAAAATATTATTACTTTTTATTACGTAATATAAGGTAAAAAAAATACTACCTTCATTTAATTTTAATAAACTTAATTTTTTTAATAAAATAATTGGAGTGTGAGTATATTCAATGTTATTATCATTTTTTCTAGTAAAATAAATATATAATTAATTGATATAATTTCTTTTTTATCATTAATTACTCACAACTTAAATAAATTTTTTTATTTAATATATGATGTAATTATTATTTTAAAATGAAGTCAAAATAAAATAAAAATGTTAAATGACATTTTTTTATCTTAGTATTAAATGACATTTTAAATTAAAAATTAAACAAGTAAATTTAAACTACTCAATTAAAAATTAAGTGGAATGTGAGTATATGCTAGTAATATTCCGGCCAAAAAATAAATAGTAGTGGTAAAAAAAAATCCATTATCTTGATATACTCAGTTTTATATATTTTAATTTAGAGTATATTTTGTGAAATTTATAAGTGTTTAATTTTTTGATATTATTCATGTTTATAAATATAAATTTTTAAAAAAAATTTATACTTTTTAATTTTTTTTAATTTAAAAAAAATTTTAAATAATAAATTTTAAAAAGTTTTAAATTTTTATTTTTTATAAATTTTTTTACTCATTTTTTATTAATTTTAAAAATAATTTTTAAATTTTTTTTCTAATCAAAATTTAAAGTTACAATTCATAAATAATATTAAGAAAATAAAAATACTAAAAAACTCAGCCAAACATACCCTTATACGTCATCCTTCCTAATTCTCGGGGCACAAAAATTAAAAAACTGCTTCGGGGACCACACGCACCGTCCAATTCAAGATAATGTTTTTGGACAAGACTGAAGGTCAATAAATAAATAAACAGAACAGCATCTTACGACGGTGAGGAATTCCACCTCTGTCCTAAGCGGGATCCACTCCTCTCTTTCATTGCAGTAATTCATTACATATACATCTAATCACCCAGCCATCAGACGACGCGTTTCGTGGGCTTCCCAGCTGGAATCACGATTTATTCGCCCCTCAGAATATGCGGGGTTCCATTCTCCCAAACAAATTTCTTCACCGCATTGAAACCCAAGAATTTTCTCTGTTTTATTAATAGGTTTTTCT